CTGACTCCCTCTGAGAGTCACTTCATGAGCATTTGACAGTTTCATTTGAGTAAAACTATAGGGCCTTTCGCACTGCTTTAGTTCCAGAACTAAATGTACAGTACTAAAGTACTGGGACGATTTTGCGGGAACTATTTCCCAGTACCATTTAAAGGGTTGCATTGGCACCGACAGTGTGTACTAAGAAGTGACGTAAGCCGGTCGACAGCGACGTCATTTGTGCGCGGCATTCAACAACGGAAACAAAGAAGAACAACGTTAACAACAGGAGGATGGAGGACGCTGTGATCGGAGCTATGTTTTTGTTGTTTCTCGCGGGTTTTACAATAATGGACATGGAATGTCGATGTATACGTAAAGTGATTGAAAGAACGGAAAGAAGGACTAAGAATCTCCAACGACAACTGACAGTGCTACATTTGCTACAAGTGCCTGCACTTTAGCATCCGTCCATCTATCGCTGTTCGCCATACTTGCGAAATAAGTTGACACAATGTTTACAGTATGTTTACACGGCGTTTTAAATCATGGCGGGTGAGGGCGTTTTCATACGCGTTTGGCCAATCAATGTCTACTTACATCACGATTAGTACCAGTTGTGCTGGTTAGACCCTGCTCCGGAGTAGGAGCTAATTTGGTTCTCGAAAAAGCCAAAAAGTGGGTAGTTCCACAATTAGTTCTGGTACTATAAAAAAGTTTCCCGCGGTACGAAAGGCCCTAGTATCTAATGAATAAGTACTAGTACCTAATGAATAAGCACTAGTATCTAATAAATAAGTACTAGTACCTAATCAATAAGCAGGGCTGTACGTTAACTTTTTTTTCACATAGCACTGGTGCTACAGAGGTTGAAAGTTTTGTAGCACAGGCCAAAAAGTTGTAGCACAAGTATAAAACGTCTGTTATCATGTCTGAAAACAAACACAAGTAATGGAGTTCATCACTTAAACAGGCACTGATGTTCCATACAGAGCGTAAAAAATACAAACCATCACAAAAATTGTTTT